CAATGAAATGCATTCTGTTTCCTTCTTCTTCTTCTTTCTCATAGGGTCCAGCGATCGAGTGTAGTCCCATTACCTTGCATACCTAAAACAGAATGGGAAGTATTTAATACATATACAGGGGCGATAATCCTGTCAGTACCTCAAAAATGATGACGTCACAATCAAAACACACATGATGAAGTGACGAAGATGTGGGCCGCAGGGTCGGGGGGATGCTAAGGAAATCCGCCATTTTGAATCCAAGATGGTTGCTAGCCTTAGCAACCAGATTCAAAATGGCGGACTTCCTTAGCAACCCAACCCCACGTCGTCGTCTATTCATCAATTAACCTTTCTTATACAACTTTAGTGTATTTTATTTAGCTCACCTATATTTTATTTAGCTCACCTATATTTTATTCATCTACGAGTCTTATGTTTATGTTGCATGTTGTTTTTGTATGTTTTAAATTGTACCTATGTTTGTTGCAGAAATAGCTCTACCGCGCTAATGTTTGTATGTTTATAGTATGCGACGTTAAATAAATATTCTTGTATCTTGATCTTGTTATTCAAGAGTTGTTCTATCTTCTAGCTACCCTACTGTTGTTTGTAAAAGCATGAATGTGCTTCTCAAGCAAGATTTTCTAAAATAATCGAGATTATTTAAGGGGAAAGGGAGGGGAGTATTAAGAAATGAATTTTTAAAAACTAATAAGTAAAAATTCAATTATTAATAATCCTGTTTTCTAATGTTTCCGGTAGCCTTACATATTTTATTAAATAGATTCCCCAATCAAGATAACATATATGCATAGAGTTGAGTCAATATAGTCTGAGTTAGGTTTCTGTGATGAAGTATTCCAAAAGTGTGGTACTATAAAAGAGCTGCTGGAAATACGGGCCCATAACATGCAAAACGATTACGCGTACACTCTCACATCTACCGGGCTACTTATCCGAGTATGCTGGTCTCCTTCACAGAGGTACCAAACAGTACCGATTCAAATTAGAAACACACCCAACTTTCATTTGACAGCATCAACAAGAGAGTCGACCAGAGGGTTCGTTTTGTAATATTGAATATTTAAGGAATCATGGCAAAACATTCAAGCTAAAAGCGAATACAGAATACGTGTTTCGGGCTCCGCCTCTCAATGCCAAGGTTGATTTTTTTTTTTCAAATTTTATTTCCTTGTCCAATTGATGTTTTATAGCAACTTTTGTATGAAGTGGGTTTTGGTTCGAAACTCAATCAATTCCGTGGTTAAGATTCATGAACTAAGTCCACGGGGGCGGGACCAGAGAGATGATCCAATCCTGGTAGCATGATTGTGCCCAACAATTTTATATGTGGTTGCGGGATGGAGATCTCAGCATTTATGACCAAATAAATATAAAATTAAGTTTCCACTCTTAATACTTCTATACCTAGTACTCAAATGAAGAAAAATACTTACGTTCATGTGGGGGGAAAAATGCGTTACAAATAAAGTTGCGGGTCGAACTCCGAGAGCATTGGATAGTACGCATGAATGTATTCGTCTCTGTCAACAATTCCAAAATCAAATCCGACGGATAGAAAGTTTGGATCTAAGGACGAAAGTAGCAATTCCAAGATACAAGCATTGCAATAACAATGATGTAGAGGTTGTCCAACGAGTGATGGTTGGTTAGCATGTTTATCCAACTCGAGTTATTCAATTTTCAAATTTTATAAAGACACGAGGTTTACCGAGTGTCTTTACAATTTGAAAATTAATTAACTAACGAGTGTTTGATAAACATGATAAGCAACCATCACGAGCTCGAGTAACTTTTTGTTCTCCCACACCAAACATCTGTTATATCTAGAACTCTATATTATTTTTGAATATGCACATGTCTGTACATTGTTCCTGCTTCCGATAGGGGAAACAATTGTCATGACTTATGACGTCACAAATCATTGTTAATTGACGGTATACTTAGAAGATTGACCAATGAAATCACGTCCAGGGTGTTACACACTACAGTTGAGTAAAAGCAATGTGTAAAATCGGCATTTTTCATAAACTGGCTTATTGTCAATTTTATACATAAAACTACTCCGTATCAGCTATGCTGGTCAAATTTGAAGGTTGCTGTTTTATTGCAGATTAAAACAACATTCGTCATTCATATAAATTAGGTACATCTATTTTTTATCGATGATAGTCACATTAACAAATATTTGCATTTAACATTCGTGATGAGGTAACAAACAATTATATTGCTGGATCAAATAAACACAGTAGATTATAAGATGCTCGGAATAAGATGTCCCGCCTATACACATGACATGTGTAATTATGGTGAACGTTAGTGGGTCTTATATTTATTTAAGCATTAAACTGCTTTAAGTTGGCATTCATAGGCAAAGGCAAATTCCGTTAAGCGCTAGCGCTTCATGTTGGATTTGCCTTTGTCCAGTTGGAATTCATAGACAATTGAAAGCAGTTCAATACTTATATTTACCATTTTTGGAATCTGTTCATATCATAGAAAAAAATCAATTACGCTTAATGTTATTTGGCATTTAGTTTAAATAATGTATGTATCGTGTATGCCTGTTCATTGAATAGAATAGCCATCGTCCGGGGATGGTCAGTAGTATCCAACGAAACAATTATGACGTCATAGTAATGATGATAGCAGGGGCGGATCCAGGATTTCCTAAAAGGGGGGCCGAGAAATTTTCTCAATAGTCAACGGTGTGCTGCGAAAGGCAGCAGCCCGAGCGCGTAGCGCGAGGAGGGGGAGGGTACAGACCCCCTCCCCGTAAGGGGGGTTTGGGGGATCTCCCTCCAAAAAAATGTGTTTTCTAGAACGTCTCAGAAGCGATTTCCCGTGTTCTGAGGATTGTTTTTATGTTTAATTAACAAGAATAAAAAAATATATTTTAAGTTTGGCCCAAAGACTTTTTTTGTGTACTGGAAAGAAAATTAAAGTTTCGGTTCAAATTCTCTATCAACAGTGTGTTTTAGAAGTCAGATGGTATTATTATAGGGGCAACCTGGTGATGACAAATGTATGAATCCACAGGGGGCTTGTTCATTATTACCTAATTTGGCGTCCCGCCCGCAAGGGGGATACGAGAGGTCCACCGTAAAAATATAAATCTAGTCTTCAGACATTGTACGTTTGTCGTACAAAAGAACAAATAACACCATAACATCGTTGCTGTTTAATTAATGAGTTTTGGACCTTTTTTTTGCTAAAAAACATAAAATAATTGTGAAATGCACTAATGTAACGGTTTCTGACTTGGAGCATGTATATTTTATAGTTGAAGTATGATGGTTTGACATTTTTTTTTATCAGAGTATGTCTTTAATTAATGAATATGATAAATTGCCATATTCAATACAATATTAGCAGATTACGATAAAAAAAAAAATCTT